CTTCCCAAATTCTGTTCCATTGATCCAAACCATTATCGCATTGAAGGAAACGGGCCATTTACGCATAAAAAAATGAGTATCAATAGAAAGGGGGCAGGCGTCTAAAAGCAATTTATACATAGTAGATATTATGTCCCGTTGGCATGGGCCATGGATACAAATACGCTCAAAAGGGGTAGGTTTCTCAAGAGTCAGCGATGAGGTTTGGGAGGAGAAAAAATGTTGTATCTGTAAATAAAAATAAAATACTGATGGGGTGGCATATGAGCGGCTTTTTGAATGTCAGGGAAGGATTTAACTCCCCAGGTTTTATGTCAGACACAATTTAGCACAGCAGCAGCTCACCAAAGATCCCTCACTCCTACTCCTCTACACCACTGTCTGGAAGCCCTGAAAAAAACAGACTTAGGATGGATAGACAAAGCCAAAGACATGAGGTGATCTCTGTTATTGACTCTGAAGAAGACACAAGAGATTTATCTGATTCTATAGAAGTGTTTCCCACTAACAACCAGCCTGTGCTAGAAGATGTGCTTATGTCCCTCAAAAGCTCCCTTCAGGCTGATATGGTCTGTTGTATCCATAACACAAGTGCAGAACTGCAAGATGTGGAATCTAGAGTGGTGCACATAGAAATAAAGATGGGGGAATTTGCCACTACTTTTAACGATCTGGTTGATGCTAATGAGAGAAAAAATTAGGAAATGGAATGGATCAAAGTTAATATGGCTGACATGCAGGATAGACCCAGAAAAATAATTTAATGATCAGGGGACTATACAAAGACATACAACAAAAGGATCTTCAGTCCTATACTACAAATCTGTTCAAAGCTATTCTCCCTGAATTCACAGATCAAGATGTCACTATTGCCAGGATACATCGCCTTCCTAAATTCACATATTCCCCCGACAATGTGCCTAGATATATATACCTTCATCTCCATTTTTACAATGTAAAGGAGCATTTCATGATAGCAATGCACAACAAAGATCAAATTCCCCCACAATGACAAGACCTCCAGTTCTACACTGATTTATCTCATTATATGCTTCAAAAAGTGCCGAAATCTCTATACTATCACCAAAATGCTCAGAAATCACAGAATCATCTACAGATGGGTGTATCCTACCAAGATTATCATGGATAGGGAGGGTTCCACATACGTTGTAGATACTCTGGAAAAAGGGTCTTCAAATCAAGGCACATTCCTCTGTTCTCCTGTGTGAGGAGGAAACGCATCGGTCTTTCACTTTGCTATATTTTTTTTTTTTAAGTGTTTTTTATACTCGTCTCACCCCCTATATACCATGTGCAGCAAGGCTGCACATAGGTATTATTTACCCACTTTTGAATACTTGAAAAATTATACTTGATGTTTGTATTTCACTTAGTGTTTCTATGTTCGTTATGATCTTTGACCTGTTTGAGGCACAGTCAAATGTCACGGAGTGAACAATGAGATCTGGCAACTCTCTCACATGCATCAACTCAGTCCACATTAACCAAATTAATTATTCCTTCAATGGCCCCTGGATGGCACCCCTTACATATTGTGAGTAAAGTTTTCACATCAGTATTGCACACAATACATTTTTCTGGATCACAAGGAGTGACATTTCTAATGATTGATGCCAAGGGCCTTAACCATCCAGCCAAGTGCAAATCAGTCTGACAAGAAGACCTCCACTACAAATATGATATTCTTTGTGTGCAAGAAATGCACTTTTGTGCGCAAACACCTCCAATGTGCTCCAACAAGAACTTTCCATATATTTTTACTGCAAACACAGATTCCAAAAAAAGAGGCGTCCTAACGGCTATCAAGGATACTCACTCTGCACAAAGAAATTAAAGATTTACAGGGCTGCCAATTAATTCTTAATTGCGACATTAACTCCACAACCTACACCTTAGCAAATGTCTCAGCACCAAATACACTTACATTTATTAGAGGCATATTTATCAAATTAGGGGCAAGAGTAAAGAGGCAGCTGCAAAAGCGTATACAGGATATTTATTTATTTATTATTTCAGGTACTTATATAGCGCCGTCAATTTACGCAGCGCTTTACATATATATTGTACATTCACATCAGTCCCTAACCCTCAATGGGTGTACAATCTAAGGTCCCTAACTCACATTCATATACAAGGGTCAATTTAGACAGGATCCAATTAACCTACCAGCATGTCTTTTGGAGTGTGAGAGGAAACCAGAGTACCCAGAGGAAACCCACGCAGGCACAGGGAGAATATGGAAACTCCAGGCAAGAGGTGCCGTGGCTGGGATTCGAATCAACGACCCGAGAGTACTATACATGAAATTCATACATTAGACACGCAAAATAAGCAAAACCCATCCCATGTGTTATCCCAGAAAGTATCATATTTGCACCATGAACTTTGCTCACTGCTATTATAAAATGTTGAAAAAAACATCTAGAAGATTAAAAATTACCTACTATGCTTGTGGCAATAAAGCAGGCAAAGTTTTGGCCCAATGTCTGAAGGGATACAGACACAAATCAAAGATCCAATTTATAATTCATCCAGCCACTAATGAAAAACTCTACCATCCACAAGCAGTGGAAGACACTTTCAGTAATTATTATAGCAAGTTGTATAACCTCAAATCAGACCCTAATACCTTTCACAAAAGGGAAGAGGTGGCGAGTGCTACAAGACAATTCAGATATGCAACCCAACAGATGGTTAAATGGGATAGGTTGTGGGCTATTGGAAATAAAACATCTACATGTACAAAAAAGTCCTTATATGTACAAGTAAACAGATAATTATTAGGGATATATGTTAGAATATATAAATTATATAAATGAAAATATTATATATTATTGAAAAGGGCTGTAAATGGCTGCTGAAAGGCAGCTTGCAGGCATTTACAGCCCTTTTCAATAATATATAATGTTTTCATTTATATAATTTATATATTCTAACATATATCCCTAATAATTATCCAAGCCAAGGAAAGATCCAGTCACCCCAGAAAATTTCTGGCCCATATCACCATTGAATAATGATTTAAAATGTATTCTAAACTTATTGCATTATGCCTAGTAGATATTTTACCCTTGCTCATACACCCTGAGCAATCAGGGTTTACAAGGGGATGTCACACTACAGATGCGACTCTGCACCTTATAAATATAATTCATCTAGCCAATGCACAAAAAAAGCCTTCTCTCCTAGCTTTGGATGCAGAGAAGACGTTTGATAGAATCCACTGGGACTACTTAGCACAGGCTCTGGCAGCTTCTGGATTCACCGGACCAATATACTCTGCCATCATGGCCTTATATACCAAGCCTTCAGCACAAATGTACACAACCGGCATGCTTTCCACTCCCTTCTTTATAACAAATGGAACACACCATGGATGTCCATTATCGCCACTTACAGTATATTCAATTTATTAATGGAACCTATGACAAACTATGTTGCTCTCAACTCCAAATATCTGGTTTTCTGGGTGCAGGATAAAATGCATACTATCAGTCTCTTTGCAGACGACATGATACTAATGTTGACAGATATAGAGAATTAATAAAGATGTGATACCAAGCAACCACAAATAATAGCACAACCCTACAAAATGCACACTCACCATGCAATCCACCACTAAGCTCCGGTTTTAGAGAAATCCTCACATATCCAATTAGTACATGCGAATAAAAAAAATACTCACCATAGTGCAATATCATCCAGCAATTTATTAAGTAACAAAACCCCCCATAAAACCACACTCACAATGAGTAAAACAATGTATAGCATTGATTAGTAATAGAGCCTCAGGCTCTTTCTCTGGCGGCTCACCTGCCTGCCTGCAACCTAGATGGCGATGATACCTTAATATATTGCTGGATGATATTGCACTATGGCGAGTATTTTCTTTATTACATTACATTGTATTTTCTTTATTCGCATGTACTAATTGGATATGTGAGGATTGCTCTAAAACCGGAGCTTAGTGGTGGATTGCTGGATATTCACAGATATGCTGGTTTATCACCAACACATGGTGAGTGTGCATTTTGATGGGGTGTTCTGAGCACTGAATGTCATGTTGGTGAAGGAGGATCTCATTACTTCATTGACTGAGGATTATTAACATATGGACTTTTCTGAATGGACTATATGTAGACTTTCTATATATGATTTAGTATTGATTCATTTATGTGCACAGATTTGGTGGTGGATATATTAATATTAAGTTATATTAATTTTTATATCTATCCTCTAAGTATTCATTTATTTATTTAATATTAATTGGTGTAGGGTAGTGCTATTATTTGTGGTTGTTTGGTATCACATCTTTATTAATTTTTACAGTGTATTATTATTAATAGCAGCACCTATTGTGTATATTTAAAATCCAAGTACATTTGGCGCGATGATGTTGGTATAAAAGTGTCCTGTGGTATATGCATATTGACACTGATGGTGACCAACCTATTTGAGATATAGAGAATTCCCTGGCTTCGGTTAATTCAACCTTAATGTTATTTAACCACTTGCCCACAGGGCACTTATACCCCTTCCTGCCCAGCCCAATTTTCTGCTTTCAGCGCTGTCACACTTTGAATGACAATTGCGCGGTCCTGTAGCACTGTACCCATATGAAATTTTTACCATTTTTTTTTTGAGACAGATAGAGCTTTCTTTTGGTGGTATTTATTCATCTCTGGGTTTTTTATGTTTTGCTAAACAAACCAAAAACAACTGAAAATTTTGAAAAAAAAAAAGTTTTTTCTTAGTTTTCGTTATAAAATTTTGTAAATAAGTGATTTTTCTCCTTCACTGATGTGCTTTAATGAGGCTGAAGTGATGGGCACTGATAGGCTGCACTGATGGGCACTGATAGGTGGCACTGATGAGGAGGCACTGGTAGGTGGCACTGATGGGCATTGACAGGCATCACTGATGGGCACTGAAAGGCAGCACTCATATATAGCACTGATAGGCGGCACTGATAGGTAGCACTGATAGGTGACACTGAATGGCACTGATAGGCGGCACTGACTGACATTGTTAGGTGGGACTGACTGGCACTGTTAGGCGGAACTGATAGGCAGCACTGACGGGCACTAATAGGTGGCACTGATGCACACTGATAGGTGGCACTGACTGGCAGCACTGATAGGTGGCAATGACTGGCATTGATAGGTGGCACTGACTGGCACTGATAGGTGACACTGAAAGGCAGCTCAGATGGGCACTGCTATGTGGCATTGATGTGCCCTGTTAGGCACTGATATGTGGAATTGGTGTGGCACTAATGGGTACTGGCAGGTGGCATTGATGGACACTGACAGGTGGCATCAGTGCCCTGATGATCAGTGTACATGTCCCCTCTGAGGGATGCCGATTACCGGCTCTCTACTCCTCATGGCTGTCAGCGTAACAGCTAGTGAGGAGAGAAATGCCGATAACCAGCATTTCCCTATTTACATGCAAACAGCTGTGATTGGACACAGATGATCACATGACCAAACCGACATCTTCGGCTATTTCCGTTGATCGGTGATCCGCTGTGTCCAAGGGACACAGTGCACCACCGATCGCCTCGCTGCGTGCTCCCAGAGCCACGCATGCGCGGTTAGAGTGGGTGGATGTCATATGATGTCCTCCCAGAACGAGAGAACCGCCTTGCGCCCATCATTTCCTTATATGTTGGGTGGTAGGAAGTTAATCAAGTGTTATATTACAAAATTACAAACAAAAACAAATCATATATTTTGGACTTGGGGGTACCCATTTCTCTAAAAAAGAAACTTATGTTTCTATTCCCATATGTGTGGAATCAAGACGGGATTAACTATTTAGAGATTACCTTAGCAGCCAAAGTGGGAGACCTAGTGACTCTTTCCTGGATTAATCTTTTTTATTTAAAGCCCATACTAGCCTGCCCACTAATTCAGCAGAACCTAGAATTCCCCCTTTTACAGCACAGCCAGGCCTTCATATACAGGTAGAAGATGTTACCCCAATGTATTTTTTTCATTTATTTTTTATTGATAATCTGCTAAAATATATTGTGTAGCAGTGTAATCTGTATGCAGGCCAATATATTGCGAGCAATCCTAATTCATCATTTGTTCACCCATTGGTGTGGAAACCCCTCACTGTGGAGAAATTAAAAAATTTTCTTGGATGTACTCTGAACATGGGAGTGACAAAAAAAAAAAATAAAGGCCATGCCTACTGGACTACCCAACCTATACATCATATGCCAATCTATTATTATCTTGTATGCCCAGAACACACTACGAGATAATGAGGTTTTTACATTCCAATAATAATACCCAGTGCCCTCTTCAAAATCATCCTGATTATGACAAACTGTTAACAATTCAGCCATTAATCAACTTTTTGTTTTGCTGTACCTTCAAGGAAATGTTTACTACAGACAAACATACAGTATTTGTGTGGATGAATCTCTAGTCCACTTTACCGGAAGGCTTGGCATTAAACAGTATATCCTTAGTAAACGGGCCAGATATGGGGTAAAAATTCTGCAAGGAATGTGTCAGGGCAATGGAATATATCTACAACATCAACATTTATGACGGAAAGGACAGCCAGCAAGACCCCCCTGTATTCCCTACCTATACGGGGACAAGTGGCAAAATTGTTTTGCAACTTTTAGATTGCTGTTAGAGAAGAGATACCATCTGTATGTTTACTGTAGATAATTTGTACACAAGTCTCCCATTATTCTGCCATCTCTATTTGAAGAAAACTGTGGCCTGTGGGACAGCATGGGTCCAACTGCAAGGGCTTCCCACAAAGATTGGTCACAACAAAACTAAAACAAGGGGGAAACAGCTAGTTTCGGAATGAAGAGATACCAATCCTAAGGTGGAGAAATAAAAGTGATGCTATATAATTTCCTCAATACATGATGACACTTTGGAACTTCAAACAAGACAAAGTCCTGTCCAGAAACCAAAAATGCATACACGACTATAACCAGTTCATGAAGGGGGGGGGGGGGGGGGGGATATGAATGACCAGATGTCACCATCTACTTGTTTCAGTTAGCCTGTACAGTTCATATGTCATCTTTTATACATTAACTCAAAGATCCGTAACCTACTTGAAATACCAAGAGGACATTGTTACAGCCCTTTTCTTTCAGCATGGCCATGTCTCTGAACAAATTCATTCACAAACCCCCCACAAAATGTGTATGTTCCAGTAACGGAATTTGCTGTGACACCTGATACTACTGTCCCCCAATGTCCCTCCTAGCCAGGCCTCTGTATTAGAGAGTGCGTCCAGATCTATCATACATCACTACACTATTAGTGAAGTATATGTGAAGTGGAGATATTTTTTCATGGTCCGCTATTTTCTATCTCCCTGTATGGCCTGGACTGTTTAAAGAAAATGCCTCTGTTTGCCACCTGAATTGATCCTGGATTGTTTATGGACGATGCCTCTGCCTGCCACTTATCAACCACATTTCTGCCTTCCACGTGAATTGACTGAAGCCTGTTAATTGACCATGCTTTTTTCCTGCCTCCTAAACTGCTCTTTTGCCCTGCCACAGTATTGACACTGCTGAGCGGCACTGCTGGTAGACACTGCTGGACAATGATGGGTGGCACTGCTGGGCAGCATATTGCTGGGCACTGCTGGGCAGCACTAATAATCAGGGCACTGATAAACCAGTGCCCTGATTTTCAATGAAGATCTTCCTGTAGCCCACATTTGCTGGTGTATCGGCAGTATTTTCTCATGCTGTGACTGCATAAGGAAAGTGCTGCCGATAACCAGCAACTGCATTCACATTGTGATCTGCTGTGCCATTGGACACAGCCTGGATTATGTGGAAAAAAGACACACTGTGATTGGTCTTTTACCTAATCACGTGATCAGCAATGCCGAGTATGTGCTGCTGAGCGCATGCAGGGGGCGCGTTCTGGGAGGATGTCCATGGATGCCCTCCCAGCGCTGTAGCAAAAGTCACTTTCGGCTATGTGAACGGTAGTTGTGGTTTGGGCAAGCAGTTAATGTTGATAAATGTAAGGTTTATGCACTTAGGGGCTAGGTAATATGCATGCAGCAAGCAGAAACTAGGGGGGAGTACAACTGGGGGAATCAATGGTGAAGGATCTGGGAGTTCTTGGTAGATCACATGCAAAGTTGCCAAGCTGCAGTTTCTAAACCAAGCGAAAAATCCTCTCTTGTATTAAAAGAGGTATAACAACAACTCCAGAGAGAGAGAGATATAATTTTACCCCTGTACAAATCAATTAGTAAGACCTCACCTGAAATATCCAGTTCAAAAAAGAATATTGTGGAAACTGGAGAAAGTGCAGAGTGAAAGGGATCACAAACCAAACTGATGCGAGGCATGGAGGAGATTAGCTCATTAAGGAAAAATTAGAGGAACTGAATTTATTTCTCTCAAGAAGAGGAGATTAAGAGGGGATATAATCAACATGTATAAATACATCAGTGGTTCATATAGTGAACTATATATTAGAGTTATTAACTTAGGTCAACATAGAGGACAAGGGGGCACTCTTTACGTCTGAATGAAAAGAGAGTTAATCTCCAAATATGGAAAGGTTTATTCACAGTAAGAGCTGTGAAAATGTGGAATAGACTCCCTCAGAAGTTGGTTCTGGCCAGCTCAGTGGATTGCTTTAAAAAAGGATTGGATTTTTTCCTACACATAATATAACTAGATACTAACATTTATAGGAAAAGTTAATCCAGGGAATATCCAATTGCCTATTGGGGGAGATCAGGAAGGAATGTTTTCCCTGTAGGAGCAATTCGATTGTGCTTTGCTGGGTTTTTTGCTCTTCTTCTGGATCAACTGTGGGTGTAGGATTAAAACTTTATTCTATATTTTTGAAGTGGATGGACTTTTGCCTTTTTTCAGCCAGATTAAAACTATCTATGTAACTATATAATGCTAAAAGTACTACTTCAATGTTGTGCTTCTCTATGTGGTCAGGCCACACATGTGATATCGCTATTCTCAGGAGGAGTAGCAAAATGTATTTTGGGGTGTAATTTTTGGTATGTACATGCTATGTGCTGTCCTGGCTTGTTAGTATATCATGAAATGAGATCTGGTTGTCAGTAGATCAGGCGTAATTCCTTATAATCGTTAATCATTATAATGATTGGTACCATAACTTGTAGACTTAGTACCATAGCTTGTATAAATTTCACACAAACCAAATAATATACACGGATTTGGGTTATTTTTACCAAAGTAATATCACAGTACACATTTTGGCCAAAATTTTTGAAGAAAAATTACTTATTTGCAAACTTTTTTAACCACTTCCTGTCCGGACACTTTTACCCCTTTCCTGTCCAGGGCAATTTTCAGCTTTCAGCGCCATCACACTTTGAATGACAATTGCGCGGTCATGCAATACTGTACCCATATGAATTTTTTACCATTTTTTTGAGACAGATAAAGCTTTATTTTGGTGGTATTTATTCACCGCTGGGAATTTTATTTTTTTTACTATGTAAATGAAAAAGTTCAAAAATTTTGAAAAAAAGGGTTTTTGTTTTATAAAATTTTGCAAATAAATAATATTTCATCATAAACTTGGCCAAAATTTATTCCGTAATTTTTTTAGTAAAAAAAAAAATCCAAATTAGTTTATAACCAAAAATTATAATTTTTAAACATTTTTTTTTACATTTTTATTTTATTTTTTTTATATTATTATTTTTTATTTTTATTTTTTACGTACTGTCACCCTAGCAGTACAGTGTCACCATGGTGACACTGTACTACTTGTGGGGGGTGATGAAGATTTTTTTTTTTTTTTTTTTTTTACACTGATTGCTTTTACACCCATATAGGATGTAAAAGCAATCATTTCTCTTTCTCTCTGTCTGCATTCTTGCAGTCATTGAGAAGTACTGATCATGTGATTGGTCACAGCTTGTCACATGGTAAAAGGCTGTTGTGAATAGCCTTGTACCATGTGACCTCTGTGATCAGTCACAGATTTCACACGTAGTAAGCAATGATGTCACAAGTGACATCTTGCTTACTACTTTGCATGTGATCACTGATTCTCCAATCCGTGATCACATGATCGGGACCTCGTACAGAGGTCCTGCCCGACGATCGGTGTTTCACTGTGTCCGGAGGACACAGCGGACACCGGATCGCGGTGGTGCTCGCTCCCAGGGAGCGCGCACAGCTAGAAAAGGCGGGTGCCGTTTAGATACGACAACCCACCCCTGGACTGCCACCGCCCTGCCGTTTATAAACATCAGGCGGACGGCAAGAGTTTAACAGAAAAAAAGAAAATGTGTTTTTTCAAAAATTTTTTTTCCATTTATAGTGCAAAAAAATATAAAACTCAGTGCTGATTAAATACCACCAAAAGAAATCTCTCTTTATGTGAAAAAAGGACAAAAATTTAATTTGGGATCAATGTTGCATGATTGAATATTTATCATTCAAAGTGTGAGAGCGCTGAAAGCTGAAAATTGG